TAGACACCCTCCTCGAGGAGGCAAGGGCAACCTCAATGCCACCTGCTATGAAGAGAGTTGGAGGGGCTCCAGCGGCTCTCGAGGCGAGAAGATCCTCGACGGCGGCAAGCGGAGCTGATGGAAGACAACAAGGTCCAGCGTCTGAACGGCATGACCGAGGAGCTGGTTGGCAGGAGACGGTGAGGCAATCCCTTGAGGTGTTGCAAAGGGCCTTTGGACCAACTTCCCAAGGACCGATGCCGGTGGGACCTCCGCCTCCTGAAGGACTTCTTGGACCTCTATTTCATGGCCGCGATCCAGGACACCCTCGCGCTGATGATCCGGGACAACCTGGAGGGCAAGGCGCTTGGCAGCGGGAGGCAGCGTCATCGCCTCAGTTTCCAATTCCGCCGAGAGCGGACAGGAGCAGCATGAATGGTGAAGGTGGTCCACAACCTAGAGTACTTGAGCCCTACGACATGTCCACACCCCATCAACATGGGCGGCAGCAGACCAATCCTTTTTCCTGATGTGGCATCCCGTTCTGAACGTCCTCGACCCCCTAGTGAAGAGGTGAAGAGAAGCCCGACGTCTCAGGAGCTGGAAGCCATCCGGGAGCGCATCCTTCGTGAAGCCCACTTGAACTTTGAGAAGGAGGTCAAGAAGCTGACAGGTGGTGGAGGTTCGTCGACGTTTGAATCGGCGAATAGTGTGGGCGAGCGGGCGAAACTTCGTGGTTCCGCTGATGGTCAAGGTGGGAACCCTGGTGATGGTGTTGGTGAGCCACTACCTAATCGACCCCCTGGATTACATGAGACCACGACCGGGACATTGTCTTCAGGGTTTGGTGGTGGAGCAGGAAAGGTGACCAGAATTGGGGCTGGAATTCCCGTGGCATCGACGACCGAGGCTCTGCGAAATTTGGAGCTTCCCTCACTTCCAGCACCCAATGGAGAAGGAGCTTCGATTCTCTTCGGCGACTGGTTGACTATGGCATTCCCGCTGATGGCTGACATCTCCAACTCGGCGAAGGCCTGGTGGGAAGAGTCCTTGATGGTGGCGCAGGAGCACTACTCGCGGTGGTTGCGACTGAGTCCGCTGGAGAGGCTGAGATCGAAACCTCAAGTTGAAGTGGATCCAGCATTTCAACGGATCGAACAGCGTGGAATTGCTATGCTACTTGGAGCACTACCTGATCAGCTTCGTCGGGACTTGGTGTCTGGCAGGCAGCTGTCCGTGGTGCACATCCTGTACCGGCTCCATGTGGCGTACCAGCCAGGAGGCGGCGCTGAAAAAACGCAACTCCTCAAGAATTTAGTGGAGTCGAAGTTCTCCACATCGGTGGGAGAATTGTTGATGCAGGTCCGGTTGCGGCGACGTTGGCTATCTCGTGCTCAAGAACTTCACCTCAACCTTCCGGACCCTCTGGTCCTCATGCACGCCCTGCAGCGCATGATCGACAGCACCCAAAAAGCAGGCGGCACTCAGGTGTCATTCAGGATTTCAAATGTTCGTCAGGAACTCCGAGTTGACTATGCAGCTTCATTGGAAGGAGTCACTGAGCTAGCTGAGTATGCGCAGGCGGAGATCGAAGAAATGTCCCTCACTGCAGCTCAGAAGGGTGGTGCACCACTGGCTCAGCCGGCGGCCTCGTCCAATCAAGCGGCCTCGACGTCACTGAAGGCTATGGCATCGTCGTTTGGAGCAGCTGAGAATGAAGAGCGAGCAGCGGGAAGGCTTGCTTGCAAGTTTTGGAGGTCGGAGGAAGGATGCAGGAGGGGAACGTCTTGCACCTATGCCCATGACACCTCGGATATGAAGAACCGGTGCTTTGGTTGCGGTGGGAACCACATGAAGCGTGAATGTCCTCACCAACCCAAGACTGGAAAGACTGATCCAAAGAAGGTCTCAAAGGTGAAGGCCACGAAGGAAGGAGAGAAGGGGGAGATCGTCGAGAAGATCGCCAAGGAGCAGCCCATAAGTGAAGAGCCGTCTCCGGGGTCATCGCCGCCTCCTACCACGACCACTTCGAGAATGGCAGGAACACCTGAGAAGCCACTGGGTCGGGAAACTACGGCAGAGTTGTTATCGGAAGCAACGTCTTTGCTCAAGACACTTCGGAGCATGAAGGTGCTTCGTGCGAAGGAATTGAAGCCGGTTGGCACTGATGGTTTGGCACCTGTTGGATTGCTGGATGGAGGGGCGACTAATGGTCTTCGTCGAGCACATGAGCAGGAGCTGGAAAGGATGTACCCGGTGAGGGTGGAGTTGGCCTCAGGGTCAACGACGTTGTTCAGGGTGGATGACCACAAGACCTTGCTGTCCAAGGACCACGTGGAGGTCATTGTCCCGCTCCATCGACTGGTGGGTTTGGGGTATCGGCTTCAGTGGACGGCGGCTGGAGTGAAGATCAATCACCCTGATCATGGCAGGATTGACTGCGCGCTTCGTGGGGGATGTCCGGTTCTACCTGAGGCCAAGGCGCTGGAATTGCTCAGCACCATGGAGAAGGCAGATCGGGGGGAGATCTTCACTGATGATGAAGTACGATCATGGTGGTCATCAAGATTTCCTGGAGGTCCCTGCGGAGGTGTGGGAGTTCATGAAGGGCCAGGACAGCTTTGATGCTTGCACTTGCCCCTGGAATCGACGTCAGCGGCGACGACACCTGGCGTCTCGTGGTGTGATTGTCAACCTCTTTGCCGGGAAGGACTATAAGAGTTGGTCTAAGACGGACTGGGGTGGCTTCGAGATTTTGAATGTGGACGTGACGATGGGCGCACAGTTCGACCTCCATGGCATTGGAACTTGGGGTTACCTATGTCATCTAGCTCGACGAGGCTTGGTGGTTGCTGTGTTGGGAGGGCCGCCGTGTCGTACAGTGTCGCGGTTGAGGCACCGAGCTCCCGGTCCGCGCCCTTTGAGAGGTCGAGATGACCGCCGATTCATGCTGGAGGGACTTTCCTCGCCGGAGCAGGAGCTTGCCCTCAGCGATTGCGCGTTGATGATGAAACAGATTGGTCTATGGCTCCTCGCTGATGAGCATCGTGGAGGACGACCAGCGCCTGGATTCCTGATGGAGTCGCCAAGAGACCCCATGGATTACATGCCAACTGAGGCCACCAAGGAGGACATGCCGAGTTTCTGGAACTTTGAGGAAGTGAAGAAGGCCAGAGAGCTGATGGGCGCATCCTTGCTGACCATGGATCAAGGGCCTATGGGCCACGTCAAGAGAAAACCAACATGTTTGATGGTCGCCAACCTCCCACAAATGAAGGAGTTAGATGGCGTGTCCGGAGAAGGTAGAGGAGAAGTTGAAGCAACATCGCTCACTGGGAGACTGGCTCAATCGAGGGAGCGGTCGTCCTGGGCACCGGGCTTGGTGGCAGCGGTGAAGGAATGCTTAAAGAACTTCCTCCTGGACTACAGGCGCAGGTGGAATGCGGAGGAGATTGTGCACCACGGCGAACCTGGAGTGAAACGAATGAGCATGGAAAGTTGGAAAACCCATGTTCGAAATCAACACCAACCCTACAGGAGGGATTGTCGGCGATGCATGGAGCTGATGGGCGTAGATGCACCGCACCGGAGGACATCAGGAGATCGATCAGCTCACTGCTTGTCCTATGACATTCTGGGACCAATGCCACTGGGAGATGATGTGGGTTTGAGCACAAAGGCGAAATACATCATGGTGGCAACGGTGGCCATTCCAAAGCTGCCTCGTGGTTTGGGGGGAGATGGAGATCATCCGCCAGAAGATGATGAAGACCGCCCTGACGATCGAGAAGATGGTGAACAAGATCCAGCCAATCAAGGAGGCGATGGAGATCCCGCCGATCAAGAAGTTGGCGAACAGGTTCTGCCTCAGCTTGATGAAGTCGAAGATGAGGACCGGGTTGCGGAGGAGGATGCAGTCGCTCTCAATGAAGACTGGAGAAAGCACATTGATGATTTGGCTGCGCCTGTGGGAGTTCAAAATATTACACTGGTGGAGCCCCTGGAGTCGAGAGGTCAACATGATGTCACAAAGGTGGCCACAAGGATGTACTGCCGCTTCAAGGCGATGGGCTTGAGGATCATCCGTGTCCACACTGACAGAGAGTGCGCTTTCTTCTCCAAGGTGTTCCAATCCTTCTGCCGGCGCTTTGGTCTTTACCAGACTATGACGGGGGGCGATGAGGGCCCTTCAAATGGGAGAATTGAAACGGAGGTGCAGCAGGTTAAACGACGGCTTCGGATGTTGGTCAGAGAAAGTGGCCTTGGTGAAGAGCTGTGGCCTGGCATCGCTCGCTATGTTGGCGAGGAAAGACTGCGGCATCAATGCACCAAGCTTGGAGTCCCTTGCACACCGCTGATGCCAATTGGAGCCCGTGTCACTGTGAAAACCAAAAGGTGGCACAGAGCTGGTTTTGGGCCGTTGATTCCGCCCTTTCGCACGATGACCATCCTCGGACCATCACCTTTCATGACGGAGGGCTATGTGTTGAGGGAAGGTCAACAAGTTCAACACGCACGTGTGGTTGTCCTCATTGACCCGACGGCTGATCGAGCTGTTCTGGAACTTCAGGAAGCTTCCGATCCGTCGCGTCCTTTACACCGGGTGATGGGGAAACAGCCGCCTGATCCGTGCTTGCCGCAGATTCCGGCACCAAGATTGAGTGATGATCTACATCTTCAAGCTCTTCAAGCTGAACATGATGGTTTGGGGGGAGAGCACAAGGACATTGGTCCAGCCCGTCACTTTGTTTGGTCTGGGGGGGAGTCTCTCCTCCTGAAAAGCAGTGATGGTGGTGAAATTCGAAAAGGAAATGATGGTGCACACCGTGAACCATGGGTGTGTGGCGAATGCGGTCTTCAGGTGCTCCCGGTGAAGTGTGGTGACCAGCGGGAGTATGTGATCGGCAAGCTGAAGGAGGTGGAACAGTGTCGCTTCTGTGAAACACCACTCGAAACTCCAGGCAGCGAAGTGATGCTGGGGCGTGTGGAGTGTGAGCTGAACGAGGCACTGAAACTCCGCGAACATGGAGAAGAAGAACACTGGAGCTGGAAGCGTCTATGGTCGGATCTCGCAAAGGATGTGGTGGTAGGTGAAGATGAAGGAACAATGCAGGGCTACATCCTCGACTATGTGGAGAAGATGGTCTTGGAGATGGAGGACAAATTGACTGGCATGCGAGGCGATGATGAGAAGGTCCAGATAGCGGCAATGGCTGTTGATGCCTCACAATCGCCGGAGCAGCAGGCAGTCCACTCGGTCCTGCAAACCTACACGGTGCCACTAGCCCAGGTTCGAAAAGATCTTCCACTGTGGATTCCGCCTCTCAAGAATGAGGTAACATCGCTGGAAACGTCAACGACAGCGGTTCGGCCTGTGAAGGTGAAGGACTTGGTGAATGAACCGGGCTACGAAGAGATGCTGGTGGTCCCATCGAAGGTTGTCCCGACGGTGAAGGCCCCGGATGCTCGCAAGAAAGCCCGTATTGTTCTTTGCGGCAACTTGGTGGAGGACACCACAAAACGTCGAGAACAACCTATGGCCCTTGAGGATCGTCAAGATGATCTACCGCCTCAACAGAAGACCATGGGAAGCAGTTTTGACTTATATGCCAGTGGCATCGATGGGATGTCATTGAGGTGCACGTTGCGAAAAGCGGCTCAGGAGAAGTGGTCCATCGGGGTCACTGATGTCTCTACGGCATTTTTGCTTGCACCTCGCAAATCGTCCAGGCTGATGGTGACCAAACCGCCCTCTATACTGGTGGAAGCTGGACTCATCGAACCCGACATTCGCTGGGTGATCGAGAAGGCGGTCTACGGCCTGGACACCTCTCCTTCTGACTGGCAAGCCTACAGGGATGAAGCTCTGCAGAGCATGCGGTGGTGGGAGGATGGGGTGCACAATTGGGTGGTTCCTACTCCGGAGCCCAATGTGTGGCGATTGATGACCGC